CCTATGGCTATGCCGTGGAGAATGCCAAGGACATCATAGCCTGTGGTTTTGATATCAACAAGACTTTCATATTTTCTGACCTCGACTACATGGGGTAAGGAGAAAATACCTGTGGTCATCACGACCACAGCTAAACCTAAAACATTTGAAATGATCTTAAGGCCTAGTAAATGGTTTGGGTTTTTTTTCCCTTATTAAATGTAATGATCTGGTTTATTGGTTTCATTTACCAATAATTTTGAAGGTGCAGAGCTGTGTATATATGCATAGGGTTAATAAATGTCATTATCTTAAAGACTCAACTATTGCCTTCATAATGATATCTAGAGACATTTAAAATATGAATTCAGCTGTAGCATGATGGTACTTCAGATTTTTATCCTCAGCTGTAACAGAGAAGCACTTTAAAGAGAGTCAGTCTTACAGAGTTACATTTTCTCCTTTCCAGTGTACCTTTCTCTTCACTGAGAAAAGATTCAATCTACTTTTTTTAGTCAGCCATTTAATAGGCCAAAATATTAAATCAGCCATTTAGTAGATTATCAAGAAATGTGTTAGGGGCAGCACCTGTAACTCACGGAGTAGGGCACTGGCCCCATATACTGGAGGTGGTGGGTTCAAACCCAGCCCTAGCCAAAAACTGCAACAAAAAAAAAAAAAAAGAAAAGAAAAGAAATGTGTTAGAAAAATAAAACTTTGGTCAATCATCGCAAGATATCTTTGTAACTGAATAAATATGTCTTGAGCACCTAAGATGTGGTACTCCCCACAAGGTGATTCCAAAGTTATATTTAATTCGGCAGGTAGATAATCCACCTTGCTATATTAAGTGTAGCCCAGGGCCAGCCTCTGAACTCAGGCATTCCAGTGTTCTCTCTCTGTTACCAAGCAAAGCAGGGTGTGATTGAACACCCAAGATGGTATGTAAGTACAAAGAAGCTTGCTTATGATCATTTCCCCAGAATGCTCTCTTTTGTATGGACTTAAAGTTGAGCAGTAGTGTTATATCCACTGAGAGCAATAGATTTCCTGATATGAAATCTGGCCTACTAACAACTAGTAAAATAGTTAACTTTCTGCTTTTACCTGTTGGTTTTTTTTTTTTTTTTAATGACTCTTATTTCTGCCATGTAAATATAGAGACAATGTGGCACCTTTAAAAGAAGGGAAATGTATGGGTCCAAGTCCTGGCACCTACCTCTGTTTAGTGTCCATGTTATATCCATGAGAATATAGAGTCCTTGTTATTATGATTTTCATGGCACTTTATTTCCTTGCTCTCACCCCATTTCTTAAAACAACCTGATTCAACTGCTTAAACCTTGGCATAGACATGCTGTGGGTTCTGCTCCTCCTTTTATGGCCACACAGTACTGCTGACACTATACAGCAACTGTGTCCTTCTTTTTTTTTTTTTTTTTGCAATAGAGTCTTACTGGGTTGTTTGCCATAGGGTCATCATACCTCACAGCAACCTCAAACTTTTGGGCTGAAGAGATCCTCTTGCCTTAGCCTCCTGAGTAGCTGGGACTACAGGTGCCCACTACAATGCCCAGCTAGTTTTTTCTGTTTTTAGTAGAGACAGGCTTTGCTCTTCCTCAGGCTGGTCTTAAACTCCTGAGCTCAAGCAATCTACCTGCCTCGGCCTCCCAAAGTGCTAGGATTACAGGCATGAGCCACCACACTGGGCCAACTGTGTCCTTTTGTATAGCCTCTCCTTGCCCCACTGCTGCCCATCACATCCTTCATCCCCCCCCCACCCCCATCAGCCAGTTATCTTACTAAAACACCCACTTGAATGGCTTTTTCAGTTCCTTGTCATCAGATGACAATAAAAATCCTTATTATTCACTTGGCACAGAAGTCCTTTTGTGATTGGCCCCTGTGTTCTTCTCCAGCATCATTGCCACCTCCAACTAGGTGGAACAGTTTACAGGTCCATATCCCTCACCTTTGTATGTGCTCCACCTAGAATTATCATCCCCTCCCTTAACCCTACAACCCCAGCTTAGCTAATTCCTACACTTTCTTCCAAACAAATGATCAAGTATCACCTTTTCCTGGGAGCTTTTCTAACCCCATAGTCTGGTTTAGATCTAATCCCAGCACTCTGGGAGACCAAGGCGGGTGGATTGCCCTGAGCTCAGAGGTGAGACCCTGTCTCTACAAAAAAAAGCCAGGCATTGTGGCAGGCGCCTGTAGTCCCAGCTACTTGGGAGGCTAAGGCAAGAAAATAGCTTCAGCCCAAGAAGCTATTGGGAGATTGGAGATTGCTGTGAGCTATGATGCCACAGCACTCTACTAAGGGCCACAGAATGAGACTGTCTCAATAAAAAATAAATAAATAAATAAATCCCCCACTCTAATCCTCCAATACCCAGCCTCACCTGCCACATGTGGTGCAGTGTGACCCCCTCCCCATAAAAGGATAAAATGCATGGTCCCTGTACTTGTGCTCTGTGTGGTAGGAACCTTCCTGGGCCTACAGACAATAGGAGCAAAGCCAAGTTCCTGCCTCACTGAATTTAAACTTTGGTGACAGGACAGGAACAAATACCTGTAATAAGTCCATGAAGATGATTCCTTTTTTTTTAAGACTTTTATATTTTTCTTGATTTGGATACAGTAAGTACATGTCGTTGTAAACAAAAAGCAAAAAGCAAATCACGTTAACACATAGAAAAGTATCAATTTTTCTATTATATACTAATCTCATTAATTTATATTTTTAAATTTGCAACTAATCAAATTAGCCAAAATTTTGCTTATCATTGTGACATCTTGTGATCACCATGTATAGAAATGGTGAAAGTTTAGAGAAAGCCTTTGAAGTTAGGTGAATATCTTAGATGAATATGTACATATATAATTTAAAATTACTTGAAATTCCTTCTGCTGCCTCCCCAAATAAATCAAAGTTAAAATTTTGGTCTCATACATATATTTTTTCACAATGCTTTTATTTATTTATTCATTTTTAATTATTTTTTATTAAATCATAACTTTGTACATTGATGCATTTATGGTGTTCAGGGTACTGCTTCAATATACAATGTGAAATGCTTACCTTGAACTTAGTAACATGTCCATCACAATTATACTCATTTCTTAATAGTTTTGAAATGTACCATTGCATCATGCAAATTAGGTGAGGTCCCCCGAAATGCTTACCTTGAACTTAGTAACACATCCATC